CTTCTAGGACACCAGACGCTGTGCCAGATTCTTTCAGATGTATAAAACTTCACTTCTTACCATGGGAAGAGGAATGATACCCTCTCACATCCCTCGGACACATCAGGGCACTCCATCTGCTGTCTCTGCATCTGTGCCCATGTGTTGGTATAAAGACAGCCCAGAAACCCTCCGGACCTGGAGTAGAATAGTTCTGAGGTCTGTATTTTGCCTCATTTCCAAGTCTTCCCCCACGGGATTAAGTCTTTTATCACCCCCTGCGGTAGGTCTTGCTTCATGAACACCCATTGCTGGTGGCCTCCCTTGCCCTGGATTATTCTCCCTTCTTCACTTCCCCAAATAAAATATTTTCTCTCAAATCCTTGTCTCTGGGTCTGGTTCTGGGAGAAACCAGACAAAGCCAGGGGCTGCAGTGTTGGATCTCTGTGAGGATGTGGCTCAGAGCCTGGTGTGTATGAGCCACTCTGTAAATGCCAACCCACCCATTTTATGGATGAGGACCCTGAGACGGAGGCGGCAGGAATCAGCCTGCTGGTAGATGGTATTTGCAGGATGGCAATTAGAATTTACCCTGCATTCAACTCCTACCCATCGCCTAGACTGGGATTCTCAGCCTGGGCCCTGCTGACTTTTGGGCTGCATGGTTCTTTGCTGGGGGCAGTGGAGGGAGGTTGTCCTGTGTAGAACATCTGGCAGCATCCCCGCCTCTCTGTACTAGATGCAAATAGCACCCTCCCCCAGCGGTGACAAGCAAAAATTGCCAGATTGTCTCCAAATAGACAAATGGCCTTGCGGGGTAGGGGAGGAGTCCCCCTCGCTGAGGACCACCAGTGAGAGAGCTGGAAGAAAGCCCAGTGATACCTCGGAGTCCACACTGATGGAGAAATGCAGAGCCGCGGTATGTACACAGCCTTCTCGTTGACCCTGCATAAACCTTTATCCAGTCTTGCATCCTCTGACTCTAAATCTGGCCCACTTTCCATCCTGCTAGGCTCCCCGAGACCAAGTGTTCCATTGCTCGGCTTGTTACAAAATTCTTTCCTGTTGCACCCAAATCTGCCTCCTGGGAAATTACTTCATCAGCGTGCCCTGCGGAGCCAGGCAGGAAGCTAATCCCTCCTCGTGGGCTGGCACTTCAACTATGGGAAAACAACCCACACGTCCCCTGCCCTATAGATGGACACCTACTGCGTGCCCGTGCTACAGACACGCCGGGAAGAGTTGTCAGATGGGGAGTTCAAAGTCCTAGACTCTTCTTTCGATCTTGCAAAAGAACTTCCAAGAGCCCAGAGTCTATGTACTGTAAAGCTTCCAGTTAACTCTGAGGTACCCTGACCACAGCACAGTGTTTAGGAACCTCGGACTAACTTATTCCAGCTCCGGGCAGTAGAGTTCTGATTCGTTTCCTAAAGCAGCTCCTGAAAAGATGGTTTTTGAAGAAAGTATTGAAAAGAAACTCTTAAAATAATAGACTAGTCCATACTAGGTCAGAGAGATACATATTTCTATCCAGTTTCATTTTCAGCCAAATAGTTTTGATAAGGTTTATACAAAAAAGCCCAGAAGTTGACACCCAAAAATGTTGGCTCAGTTTCCTTCCCCAGGTAGTGGGATTAAAGGAGATTCAGAACATTTTTCTCCTTGGTTCTTTTCTTCATTTTAAGACGTGTAGAATAAACGTGTGTGTGTGTGTGTAAATATATATATATATATATATATATATACATATATTTGTATAAATTCCGATCAGTTTTTGAGTTATTTATTAAATTGTAATGATGACCATCTTTTTGCTGTTTCTTATAGGGATGATGACACCTGGTGGAAATAAGTCACAGAAGAGCAGGGGCAGTCACAGGACTGGACCATCTGGGGAATAAGAAAGTATTCGAATGACAGGCTTGGAAAAGACTGCAGGTCACCTCCCTTCATTTACGGGAGTGAGAACGAGGATAGTCATGGGACCACAGAGTGTCCAGATGAAGATCCCAAGTTAAAAGAAGTGGACTAAAGAACAAAAGTGACAGCAGAGAAGAGACTTCCAAAGATGAGTAAAAAAATAAATAAAAATAGGCTCATATCTACTCAAGCTAAATCACTCACTCAGCTCACTGGGTAAGCATAGTCCCTCATAAATGTGAAGGATTATTCAATTCTCATTTGCCTAAGCCTTTAATTTACATGCCCTATATTCTATTTTAAGGGTTTCCAGTCTTCCCAAATGAGCACATGATTTTCCTCCTTCCTTTTTAACTGCTCCTTATTCAATGAAATTAATGACAATGGCTGGCTTTTTTCTGGGAAGAGTTTTCTGATTTCCTGTTCACTGTTGCCCCAACTAACTTTACCCCTTACGCAACTTTAAGCCTTTGACACACATCCCTTCTTGTGGATAGATGTTCTCTCGTCCTTCTCTCAGTAGAGTCTTAACGTTATTTCTGGCTGCTGGAATCAGGGTCCAGGACAGAGGCCACGTCAGTCGTGCCCCTCCCTTCATCCATAGGAGTTGGGCTGATGAGCACCCAGCTTGCAGGTTTGTATAAAACCCCACCTGTGCACCCGCCCGCTCCTTTTTAAAATGAAACGTAAGTCTACATTTCAAACCGCATCACAGCCACTGGATACCACAGAGGACAGCCTCTATTCTGTTGGAACGATTTCTGGATCTTTTGAGAGTGATTCCATTTCATGTTGAAAGAAGTGTGTGTGTGTGTGTGTGTGTGTGTGTGTGTGTAAGACAGAAAACTGAGAACTGAGAAAGGGATAGAGAGAAAGAGAGAGAGTAATTCTAGCAAAGTAATGTGCATGGGTACTGGTGGGTAATGCTACCCTAAATAACTTGGACTTCCACTGGCTGGCTTTTGTTCATAAAATGCTAATCCTCTCAGGTGCAGACCTATATAAAACATTGGGGATTAAAGACTGCACAGAAATCTCAAATCTCTTCTGCTGCATAAGGTAAAGATATGTTTAAACTAACTGTTTGAAATTATTTTGAGGGTACTAACAAGGAGTCCTTTTCAGAACTTCCCAATTCTTTATTAAATTCTAACATATGATATAGATCATATGATGTGTTGAGCTAATAATGAACACTAGGTAGATTACTGTAGTTATTTTCTAGGTTGCTTTTTGGGGAAAAAAATTAATGTCTCACGTCAACTATAATGATGGGGGAGGCTGAGTCATTTCATTTCACAAGGAAAAATACTACCTGTTATTGGAGTGAAAACAGGTCTCCTTTTCTTGCATGCAAAATGAAGAAATGTCTAAATTTAATGCACAGAGTCCCGTGGTGCTGGGTGGGTGTCCTGTAAAGAGTGTTGTCTTGCCTGACTACTCTCTGGCTTTGAAGATGAGAATAAGTTAATACTGTTTGCGCAAGAGGCTTTGCACAGGTTATCTCACTTAATTCCTACGACCATCATGTGAGGTCAGAATCACCATTATCTACATTTTCAACAAAATTAGTACATGGCAGAGCCAGCATTCAAATGCAGGGCCCTTCACCGCAGCGCTAAGACTTCCCCCCTGAAGATGCTCTGGGTACTCACCAACAACCAGTCAGCTGTCTTTTAGGGGAACAGTTAACTTCTGGAGTCGGCGGCACGTTGAAGAGAAGGAGCAAGTAAGTATCTGCAAGAGAAAAAACGTCTTGAGTTGAAGAATTGGGGTAAATATTTGATTGTTTGATTCTAGAGCCAGTGAAAATGCTAAATTACCTTCACAGGAACCTCACCGATTTGAAATCCTGTTGCACATTAATGTTGAGAGGCACATGACCCCTCCAGGTGTGGAATAGTTAGTAATGGTGGGGCTGGGTGCTATCCCCAGCTGACCAAAACAATATGATGGGGCAACTCTGGTATATAAAAACAAATTAGGAAAATGATTTACATTTTGTAAAAAAAAAAAAAAAAAAAAACTAGAAAACGTCACTGTGACAACTAAGCATTATGAGTAATTTCAGGGCAAACTCAGCCAGAAAACTCACCGCTGAAGCAAGGCAGCTCAAGCCGTGTCCCACCTCATGGTCAAGAACATAGATCCTGCAGCTGGACCTCCTGGATTTGACTCCTGGCCCTGCCACTGGCCGGCTGCGTGCTCCTGGGCTGCTTTTGAATCTCTCTGTGCTTGAATTTCTTTCATCTGAGAAGAGGCATAATAATAGCATCCACTTCATAGGGTTTGTTGTGAGGATTAGATGAATCAATTCACTAAAAGCACAAGAACCTTGCTTGGCAAAAACACGCCAAATCCCGCAGCGATGTCACGTGTTCTTATTTGGATGCTGAACAATGATCCCAACAGCCAGGTCCTGTTTTCTTAATCAGTAGAGTTTTCCTGAGCTGCACTAATCACTTTTGCTCTCCCGTTTCTCGCCCACAGCCCTAGGAGGTAGGTAGATATCATCCTTCCCTTTTTTGCCGATGAGGAAATGGTGTGGAGGGGATTAAGTGAGTTGCCAAGAGTAAGAGGGGGCAGCCAACCAGCCTCCTGGCTCTCAGCCCCCAGCGCTTTCTACTATCTTGTGCTAAAGCCTCAGATGAGAAGGGAGCAGCCCCGCATTTGGGGCAAATCCATGATGTCATTAACCCTGGATCCACAAGGTACCCTTAAAGATATGTACGTCTGGATCAGACCGTCTTCATCAAGATTCAGTTCCAAAAGCTCTTAGAAATACACCTTAGACTGCAGCAAGGCAGCACCTGTCTGGCTACAGTGGCTCTGTTTTTGCATTTCTCCAGGCGATGGAAAGGTGGGGTGATGATGTATCATGGTCTCCTTCCACTCTGCTCTGCAAAACCAGGATGGCAGCGCCCAGGGTGGCTGCTCTCCCCACCCCGCCCCCGCCCCGGGGAACTAAGCTGAAATGCAGGTGTTCTTTCCAGCTCAGCAGATGCTAAGGCGATAAGCTGCACCTTGCAGAGGCTCTGGGCGATTCAGACCCGGAGGAGCGCTCAGTCCAGGCCAGCTCTCTCCTCCCTGGCGGCTCTGGGATGGATGCGTGTCTGTGCTCAGGGCAGCAGCCCCAGTCCGTGGACGAGGCACCGAGACCCCCGGATGAGGAGGGTCTACAGACAGACGGCAGCAGCGGACCCCCGGGAGGTAACCTCCTTCCTCAGCTCCACATCTTCTCCCATCTTTTCCTGGGGATGGTGTTTTGCAGTGAACCTCAGGCACAAGAATATCCATTTCCTTTTAACCCTAGATCTTTTTCTTATCATGATGCTTAGTAGAAAAATGCCTTTATGCAAGCAGAAGCATGACACTAAAGGTAATACCTATGTTTTTATTATTTACCTATCAAAGACCAAAACTTTGTTTTATCCAAATGTGAGAGGGTTAGATTTTTGTAATAAGAACTTTTAAAAAAGAAATGAAATCTAGATTCCTTCCTGCTTTTCGCCAAAATGTATTCCTGGCAGCTGCGTCCTTCAGTGGATCAGTGTAAAGTCAAGTGTACTTTCCCATTATGACAACAGAACCCTTTAGTGTTGCTTTTCTGGGCAGGGAATCAGTAGCAAATAAACAACAGACATAACAAATGATGTCATAAGAGCCAAGATGTAACGTTCAAAACGTTAACAGTCAACAGTGGAAAATTATGTTCCAACTCTGTTAAACCAGGATGGTATTCATTTTTACTAAACTGTTTACATAAAAATGCAACTCTGCCTATCTTGAAAATCTGATGTCTCTAAAACTGTCAGATGAGCATAGATACAATAATTGAAAATCATGTGCAATCAACATAAATTTCTTTTATCTTTGTAGCATGGAAAAATGGTCTTATGGAGAATATTTATATGCCCATGTTTCTTTACAATGTCGATCCAGAAATTACAAACATCAGCTTACGATCTGTCATCTTGTGAAAGGATGAGCCACTTAAAATCAGCACATAGACTTTTCCTACAGTCTTGAGAGAAAAGTTAGCCTTTATTTGTGGTTATTTGTGGGAGGAAGGGAGGAAGGAACGGTCTGGGTGATATAGAGGGGACGGAAGCTGGCAGGAGGTGGCCTGGGTCCCTGACAGTCTGGCTGCTCCAGTGATGAGAGGCTCAGAGGTAAGGAGGGCAGCCCGGTACCCACTCCTCATTCCAGATGGCCTGTACCAGCTCCTGCATTTCAGGAATTTTGCGAGCTGATTGTTAAACGTGGCCATTGTTAAAATTTAAGTCATACAAACGTACAATGAAATGGATTATGTAAAAGGTAAAGGTATATGAAAAACTTAGGTAATAAATACTCATGTCTCATCAGGAATTCTTTTCCTACATTTTACGATGAACTGTGCCCTTGAGGCTGTTGAGGGGTGTCGTATCCGTGTGGTAGAAATGCTTGTGGTGCTGAGCCGCTTCACCCCTTTCCCAGGGATGGCCACTGTGGGAGCGCTGTCACCATGGTGACGGCCAAACCCTGCACATCAGTGCTTCCTCACTGCCCCCAGGCTGGTTGTTAAAGTTTCTGGGCACAAGATGGTCTGTTCCTCTGCCTTCTTATTTTCTCTGAAACAGAACTCAGAGTCAGCCTCTCAACCTATGGGAGAAGCTGGGTCCTCTTTGTTGAGTGATAAATTTCAGGTTCATGGTTTTAGATGTTGGTAGTTTCCCTTTATAAGAGGTGGGTGAGGACCAAACGTCCTCTCCTCTCCCCACAGCCTCTCCTGGGGCACATGACAGGGAAGGATGACATCTCAGGACTGACTTGGCCACTATTCATCAGCAGGTTCTTGCACGCTCAAGGAAGTCCTGGGTTTCTGGAAGCTCGCCTTTGTGGTCAGGACAGAGAATTCTCCTTCCAGGAGATCAGAACCCACGGCTGAGAGCTGCAGGCATCATTGTGCTAATTTACAAACTGGTCATTTGGCCCACACTGTGGTCCAAGACCATTTGGACACTTTTTTGTAAAATGCAACACAAATGAATTTCTGGAGGAACATGAAAAGAAGACAAAAACACACACACAAGACAAGCTTTGGCTTTTCGTAATCAGATTCAACAGATATGGTCAAGTTGTTGTAAATGTTTTTAAGTGTTCACTCCACATTTCTGGCCTCTTCTGGCTGTGACCCTGTTGCAAAGTGTTCGCAGAGCCGTGGCACAGAACCGTCCAGTGCGGGTGGAAATCAGTGAAACCTGAACTCTGAGGGGTGGACCCCCGATTAGGCTTCTTCAAAGGCCCCCTCCCCCTCCCCCTGCACTCACCCTACACTCACCCTCACCTACCTCCTTGAGTGCATATTTCTGGTAAGAGACCTTCAGATGTTCACTGAATGCTCCTTTCCACTAGTCCATCCCTGGTTATACATCCGCAGGCAGAGCTCAGGCAGCAAAGGCTGGTCTCATGCAAGTTCCCCCCCAGACTCCTCGCTGCCAACGCCTCTCCCCGAGGGTACCGGCAGCCCCCCGTCTTCTGCGCACGACCCCTCCGTGTGCTCGGGGTCCCCATTCTGACCTTATTACTCACTGTTCTTTTTAAGCTGAAACCCCCTGAGAAACCTTTGACATTCTGGGCTTCCATGATGTCAGCCCCGATCAGGTGCTCTTTTCCTCTCATTTTATATGACATCTGAGAGCTGCTTGAGTGGTCATGAGCGTAAAGGAGTATTTAAGGAAGAGTAATTTAATATCTGGAGCTCATCTGACAACCTCCCCCAGGACTGTGGAGCTGGCTTGTCTTTGGGTGACCTGCACCTTTTGAGAAGCGGTTGTAGAAGGACTTAAGGAACATGTTCCAGCCAACATGTGGGAATGTTACATCACTTCAAGACCCAAAAATAGTCAGGTCCACGCTTGCCTCGGTCCTCCTTATGCAGATGCCTCATTCGTGCCATTCTATGCGGTGGCCTAGCTTCCTCCTCTCACCAAAACAGAGGGAGGGATGGATCGACACCGCACTGTCTTCTCCTAAATCGAGGGAAGGGCCCAGGGCATCCTTTGGTATTTCGTCATATGATAAAAATGTCCCATAGAAATGTTATGTCCCTGTCACCCCATATCATTCAGTTTGTGCTAGTCTGCAGCCACTGTCACTGATAGCATTCCCCACTCTGTTTCTGGAAGATCGCTCAGTCTCTTCCCATCTGACTAATTGTACCGAGTGTAGATTTGCACCGGATAAACAAATAATGAGACTGATTTAATTTTCTGTCCCACAGATTCTAACAAGATAGAACCATCGCTTCAAAGCCTCCAGAAATTTGTTCCTATGAATTACGCCAGCTACACCCAGGAGTACTATCAGTTTGCAGGCAAGAGGATTGTCATTCAAGAATCGATCGAGAGTTACGGAGCGGTGGTGTGGCCAGGGGTGAGGGAGCTGTCACATTGGGGCGTCGGGGATTCTGGGGATGAGAACAGCAATTTTGTACAACTGTGGTGCCTTGGACGATTTGCCACGTGCTCTAACGTTCTGTGCTTCTCAAATTGAGGGTCCAAGGATGCCCTCCCAGGGGTGTTGCTGGTGTACCTAGATGCTGCAGAAACACGGCATCTTTCCTAAAAACAATGATTTTCCTCTATGCTATGTTTCTTGAAACATTATTTTCTCACATTAACTTGAGTATATTGGGAAGTAGGATGAAAAATTCATATGAATTGTTAAAAAATCAGAAGAATAGTCTTTAGATTTTGTAGCGGCCACCTCTGGGCCTCTCCCACAGACCTTCGGGTATTCACTTGCCTTTTACAGTGCAGCCAGTCCAGTGGAAACGCTTAGGAAGTGGTGCTTCATCTCATGCTCTCCGTGCAACAGTCCCCAGAGGATGGAGCTGAAATGAGGGAAAACACGGAATTCAGAGCCAGAAAACCTGCTATCTTCTGGCTGAGTGCACTGTTTCCCCTGGCGGGGTGCAGTGCAGAACCAGGCTGGGACGATGGACCTCGGAGGCCAGCGCCTTCGTTCTTTCCACTGCAGAGGTTCTCAGCCTGTGCTTGGAAAGGCTCCAGATCAGAACTGCCCCACTGTTAGCTTAGATGGGAATCCTCCTGGGTTCTTGTTAAATGCAGACTCTGATTCAGAAGGTCAGGCTGGGGGAGGTGGACTGGGGCTGCATTTCTGACTCACTGCCGGGTGACGCAGACCTGCTGGCCCGCTGCGTGGCTGTGATCAGAGGTTCCTTGGAGCGCCCTTTGCAGTCTGGGTACCAGTGATGGGGGAGATGGAGCAGGGCGGGGGGCAGGGGAGGGACAGCCAAGGGCTCCAGGCTCTTAGAGCTGCCCCCTCACTGACCCCAGCCAAGGAAGCTCGATTTTTACCCGTTATGCTTAATATAAGTATGATTTCCTTCAGCTAAATGTTTTTCTTTGGCTTAACAAGTTTGAAACCAGCAAGTGACTCCACAGCTTCCTACTATATTTGGCAAACAGACACCCAGAGCTGGGTGATCAGAAATCAGGAGTGGAAAAAGATGATTTGTCCACTGGACTGTTTTATTCTTTTTTTTTTTTTTTTTTTTTTTTTTCTTGCGTTATGCGGGCCTCTCACTGTTGCGGCCTGTCCCATTTGCGGAGCACAGGCTCCGGACGCGCAGGCTCAGCGGCCATGGCTCACGGGCCCAGCCGCTCCGCGGCACGTGGGATCCTCCCGAAACGGGGCACGAACCCGCGTCTCCTGCATCGGCAGGCGGACTCTCAAGCACTGCGCCACCAGGGAAGCCCTGTTTTATTCTTAATAAGGCCTCAGCCTTTCATGCACCAAACCCTGGCCCTTCTCGGGACCTCAGTTTCCTGAAGGCTGCAGAAGGATCCGTATCGTGTGGGGAAGCACCTTTTCCTTGTGCGACTTCAAGAGCAGCTGTGAGCGATGACTTTGCGTAGTTTGCTAATAGGACTAAGAAGCGGGGGAGTGTTTGCTGAAAGATGTAGCTGTTCCCGAGAGAAGATCCGTCCCCAGATGGCACCCACCGGGCCAGCCTGTCACAGGGCAGGGCCCTTCAGGAAGGACGCCTACAGCCACCCCTTCAGGAACTCCTCAGAGCACGCGTCTTGGTGGCTCTGGGTGACACTCTTCCAAATCCTGAAACCCCACACAGTGAATAATGCTCCTTTCTCCTCGAGAACCGAAGAAGGCCTTTCCTCAAAACTGCCGCCCCCAGCTCCGGAGCTCCTTGCCACGGGCTGGATGCCAGCGCCACCCCGCGCCCGTGCCGTCCCGTCCCCCTCTCACTCATCCTCCAGCGCCCAGGGCCCCTTGATGCCCCTTACCTCCCTACCGTGCCATTGGGAATTGGTTTCCATCCTCCCCCCACCCCCGTCCCTGGCCCCCGAGTCCCTTGAGAGGAGCTGGGGAGGAAAGGGAGGGACCCACGGGCTTGGAGCTGCCACCAACCCTGGCGCAGGCCATCGTGAGCACGGCTGTCTCATACGATCCAGGCCGCCCCCTACTCCAGCCTGGGCCCCAGACAGAAAGTGAGTCATAGCAAGCCCAGAGCACCTGCACGAAGACAAGGGCTAAAGGTGTGTACAAACGAGAGCATTCACGTTGCCTTTTCAGCGCAGGGTTGCAGGGTTCGCATTCCCAACTCCGGTAACGCCCTCACGCCTACATAACTCTCCCCAGTCTCTCTAGTCCGCGACATCACCAGCCCACGTCCATTGGCTCACACGGGAAGGGACCTTGATTTTCTGTACAGAAATCGATCTAAATTTATTTTATTTTATTTTTTTTTACTGTGTAAAGGATGTAACCTCCTTGCTGCTACCCCCCCCCCCCCACCCCACCACACAGGGCCGC